CATGTGCGCGCCGGCCAATTTTTTTTTTTAATTAAAGGACACTTTTTTTTTTAATATTCTTTATAAAAAAAAGAGAGAGAGAGAGAGAAATACTTTTCTAACCTAAGGTCATAATAAAATTCTTTTTTTAAAAAAATTATATATTTGAGGACCAGCAGGTGGTGTAATGGATCCATCACTGGACTCCTACATAGTTGACCACGGTTCAAGTCCCGGACCCGGTGGCTTAAACTCACACCGGGCGCGTGTGCGTGCATGCCCAAGATCCTGAGAGGAGAATGGAGGAGAAGGGATTGCGGCGTGACCATCCCCTCTGGGGGGTGATTTCTCGCTTTCTGTTTCTCTGTCTCTCTGGCAAGTGCATATGCCCTATAGCAAACATCTCTCTCTAAAAAGAAAGAATTATTTATTTAATCTGATTTAATTAATTGATTAGTTAAACTTTAATTTGACCAGAGAGAGAGACAGAGAGAGAGCGAGAGAGGGAAAATGAGAAAGCAAGTCACTGGGTCCGGGACTTGAACCACAGTTGGCCGTGTGGGAGTCCAGTTCCTTAATCACCACACCACCTGCTGGCCCTCATAATGAAATTCTTTATTGCTATCTTTTAGGAGATACATTGTTTCACATTAGATTTACATTTTATGTGAAGTTGCTTTTGTGCATGTGTAGGGCATAAATCCAGTTTCTTTTCTTTTCCTCTTTTCTATGTGGAAAAGACTGGTTTCCCTCACTGTAGTACACGCTCGCTCGCCTTGGTGCTACATCCATGTGTGCCTGGATCTCCTAATGCTTGCTATTCTATCCCGTTGGTCTAGTTACCTATCCTTGAGCCAATACCACGTCATGTAAGTGATTGTAGCTTTCGCATATAGTCTTGAAATCCAGTAATGGAAGTCCTCTCACTTTGTCCCACTTGGTCACTTGGCTATCCTAGGTCCTTTGCTTAGCTACATAAATTTTAGAAATAATATGTCACTTCTCTCTCTTTCTCTCTCCCACACGCACTTATCCTCTGGAATGCTGCTTAAGATTACATTGGCTCCACAATTTAAATTGGGGAGAATTAACAGCCTGAAAATACTGAGTCTTCTAATCCATGAACATGGTATAACCCTCCACTTATTGTGTTTTCAATGTTTCTCTTAGCCATGTTTTGTAGCTTTCAGTGTAGAGGTAGCTCATTGTTAGATTTATTGCTAGATTATTCATGCACACAGCCACACATGCCTGTGCATGCACACGCACACACACACACACACACACAGAGTGTCACAGAGGTCTGAATACATTGGTGCCTAGAAGGGAGCAGAAGTGTTATCAGGCTCTGGTGGGCAGTTCAGTGTGGTCGCCCAGCCCTGGCCACTGAGCCTCCTGCCCCCCTGCTGTCTCTGGAGCTATGGTCTGCTCCCCACCCCCCATGGATCAGGGCAGGAGGACAGAGCATGTGCAGACAGCGTGTGTGAGCAGTCGACAAGCTCTGGGACAAGAAGGAAGGCAGAAAGGAGGATGCTTCAGGCTAGGGCCAGGGAATCGGAGACATGGAGAGGAGGCTGCCTGACCGGCCCTGTTTGCCCCTCTGCAGCACCATGCCAGCCTGGTCATGAGCCAGGACCCCTATAAGGTGACCACGTTTGAGAAGCGCTTCGCTGTGGCCGTGCAGTGGCTCTGGAGGGATGCCGGCATCCGGGCCTGCTATGAGCGCAGGCGGGAGTTCCACCTGCTGGACTCAGCAGTATAGTGAGTCTGGGGTCTGCAGGCTGGCACATGGGGTGGGGTGGGACCAAGAGGGAGGCAAGGCTGTGGGGCGGGGCTAGGCTGCGAGGTGGGGCCTATAGGCGCGGCTAGGCGGTGGGGCTGGTCCGAGAGGCGGGACTAGGCTGTGGGGCGGGGCCAAGAAGAGGGGCTGGGCTGCGCGGTGGCGCCGAGAGGCGGGGCGAGGCTGGGGGGGGGAG